TTTGCAGTAGTGCAGATGAGAAGGAGATTTTAAAAGTCTATAATCCATAGTTGTGTTTGACTAATCCTGTTTTTGCTGGGCTGTGAATGTTTGTGTTTGTGTGAGCAGGCCTCACAGCGACGCTGGATCCGCTTCCTTCCCTTCTGACTCGGAGACACGATCATCTCGTAGGTCCTCGTTTCTGTGGCGCGTCTTCTGGGTCGCACTGCCTCTCCAGCTCTTCCTGCTCCTGTTAGTGGTTTTTGCCTTTCTGCTGCCAATGTCTGAGGAGGACTACTGTGCTCAGTCCAACAACTTTGCTCATTCCTTCTACCCGATGCTGAGCTACACCAACGGACCGCCTCCAGTGTAGATGGACGTAAAAACCACTGATGTTTAGTATTCTTGAGCCAGAATGACCTCAGTGGGATTCATGTTGATATCCTTGAAACGGTTAATCACAATGGGAGCAAAAACAAATCCTGCTCGTCCATTTTTACTGCAGAATAACAGCTGCCATCTACAGTTAATATCTTTGTGTGTAGCACATAGGATCAAGCATCTCACTATGTTACTCTGTGTAATGCTGTGTCAGTTAATTTGCATTTTTGGTGTAACGGATCTGGAGGTTTCTGCCCACAGTGGACATCTGCTGGATAAACGACGTGTCGACTCAGTGGTGTAAACATGACGTAACTTCTCTCAAGCCGATAGCACCAAAGTTAAACGCTGAAATATAGCCTGTGAATTTGCTTGTAACTAAAAGTTTGTAAACAGCAAAAACATTTAATATATCTTACATTGCAATTATTTTTTTACCTGTATTTTGGCATGCAGTTTTAATCTTTGCTTTTACTTACTTACATCCATCGTTGTGTCTGTGGTAATCGGTCCATTTTTAACTTGAACCACATGGATTCATGCAAGAGTCATTTAAGCCAAGTCAAGTGAATTTAATATCCAAGTCAGACGCAACGCAGGAGTTTAACCTTTAACAGTCACCCATGGTCTTTATACATTCTGCTGTTTTATTTTTTCAAGATATGAAATATGTCTTTAAGATTGAGAAATATGACCAATAGAATTATTGCATATTTTATAAGACTGTGAGTTCAGTATCAAATGTATAACAGTCGAGAGTTATTTAACATATGTATATAATGCAAAAAGAAATAATATGAGAAATGTATGTATATGCGACTCTCAAAAACAATGAATGCCAAACCTTCATTCTAAAAGTTGTCATTTTATTTGTGAGTTAGCATTTTTAATATTTCACCCTTTGTGCATCATACTTATATTGATCTTCCCATGAAAACACAAATATAAAAGAAAACTTTTAAATTGTTATTTTATGTTTCAAAAGTAATTAATATCTCTACTATTTCTCAACATTTCAACTTATTTTTGGTATGAATGGAGTGAATAGATTTTAAGTTTCGTGAGATCTGCAGGTGGTAACATTCAGGTTGCAGCCATCAGATAGTTCTTGGACTTGTTGCAGGTGAGGTCTCTGGTGAGTCGAGTAGTGCCGAGGTATGTTAGCATGATGATGAAGGTGGTGACGGTGACAGTGGCCATGAAGAAGGGTTTCAAGTAATTTGATGATTTCATAATTTGGAAGATCTAACGCTGTGGCATCCAGGCCCAACGTTTGAGAAACCAGCATGCGGAAATCCACCAACTGAAAAAAGAAACACCTGGTTCAAAAGTTTTCAGAAATCTTGTGACCTTTCTTTTATTTATATTAACAAACAACATTAAATGAGCTCTATGACCGCTAACAAACATCTGCTGTGCAAGGTCATGAGATGTGGATGAAAGCATGGTAAACAAGTTTTCCTATTTGTCGTTTGACTCTTACCTCTCTCTGCCTCTCAGACAGCTGAGCCAGGCTCTGTCTGAGGGTGAGGAGTTCCTGTAGGTCGTCTCTTGTCTTCTTCTCTTGGCTCTGCAGGTCTGAGCTAACTGCGCTCAGCTTTTTCTCCACCTTTGCCTTCTCATCCGCCACCAGATCCAGCTTCTTTTTCTGCTCCTGCATGATCTGAGTCTGTTGCGCGACTTTCAGCTTGGCATTTTAGGCACAGCAGAGACTCGAGTGAGCGTCGGGTTTTAGTAAAACAAGAGTGACTTTATTTAATTATGTCAAATTATTAATCTAAGATACTATGATACTTTGAAAGCATGCATTGATTGCATATGCATATGATTCAATGACCCACTAACCCATGCCCCAAAATTAACACAAATACACAAAACATTATGAAGTGAAAATCCCTCTGGAGTGAATTTGGGCCCAAACCCTTCTCCCCTCTACCTTGAGCTCGCTGGTATGGGAGAGCTGGGCCTTGAGCTCAGTGTTGGAAAGCTTGGTTGCTTTCAGTTCACTTTGAAGACGCTCCAGTTTTTTCTGCAGCCTCGCAGCCTGTAGTTGTGCATCATTTTGTTCCACAGCCAATGCTGATCGGGTCTTCTTCTCCTCTTCCAGCTCTGAAACCTTTTTCCTCAGTAGTTGGATGTGGAGTCCTTTGCTCTCTATTTGTTCCTTCTGTGATTTCAACTACAGGGAATGGGAATATTTTAAATCAGCTGTATACATTTTTTAAGCTGCATTTGTGCATTTAGAGGTAAATTATCTGCTTGTTCAGCACCACTCTCCACTTGTATAAACTTGTGAATGATAAAAACAAAAAACAAACAAAAAAACTACCTTCCGTTGTAAGCTGTAAGTCAGACTTTTACTCTCAACTAAAGCAGTTCCCTCTTGTCTAACAAGTTGTTCGGCACGTGACAGAATGAATTTTAGCTTCATTTCGAAGTCAAGATCAATGTCAAAGTCCTCAACCTTCATCGTCTTGGACAGCTGCTCCAAGAATTCCTCATACTGTTAAAAAAAAGAGACAAATCATAGGAATGTGTCGCTATACCAACCTGTATCTGTAACTTATATGCTTAGTCACATGACTTTACTCACATCCTGTTTGCTGTGTTGCAATCGGTCACGATGCATGTCTGCTGTCAGAAGTTCGGCCTCCAAACATTGCAGTCTTCCCCTCAGGTCTTGGACTTGCTGCTCTGCAAGCTGAGCCCTCTGTTGTGCAATGTGATGAAGCTCTGTCTGCTCACTCAGCTTTTCAGAAGCACAACACAGCCTCATTTCCACCTCTGGCAAGCTCTGAAAGACCAGCATAGTGAAAATGTGTGGTAACATAAACTATTGTGTGCACACTCCTTTTTATCTTACAGCTGGACTAAGTCCTTGACAGATGGAACAGGAAGAGTTAACATAAAGATACAAGTAACTGCATCAATTGCTGTGCTTTGGGATGTATTCTTCTACTTTACAGAGTTATCCAGTCGATGTAGTTATTAGTCTGCAAATTAAAATAAAAAAAATATTTAGCTGTATTGCAAGTATTGAGATTTGAGTATTGAGTATTGAGAAAAAAAATCAACCAGTATGTTGCATTTTACACAAGTAACTGATCATTCATGACACATAGCGATTAACAAAAAGTAATCCTAATAGCTAAAATACAATGTGATTTATAATTGTCAGCAAATTTGCTGTTTGGCTGGAGCCACATTTGCACCTTGGAGAACAAATTTAGCTTTAAAGCAGCTTTTAAGCATTTTTTGTTGGAAATCCCAACGTTCCTCACCTTATTGCAGAGGTTATCCACTGTCTGTAGAACATCTCTCTCCGTGGGCAGGATGACGTCGTCACACTTCTTCTCCAGGAGGCCGACCAACGTTTCCAAGAATGCCTGCAGCTTGTCCTCAGCTTCTTGGATCCTTCTTTCAAGCTCCTCCACCTGGTTCTCCAGACAGTGTGACTCTCGCCTGGCTGCCTCTATCACTCTCTTACTGGCCTCAAGTCTTTCAGTTAGGGTCTGCTTCTCCATCTCGACACTTCTTCTCCCAACAGCCAGACCATCAAGCTCCTAAATGACATACAAACACCACAACAATAGGGCAATTTTAGCAGTTACTCCTAAAGTAATAAAATCTTTAAATTAACAATTTCGTACAGAAGTCAGTAGTTTTTACACAACGCTACTAAATCCTTTAGTTCGTGGGTTAAGCCGTCCAGACATGTGAAATCTTGTACTGTAAAGTAACTACGCTTTTAAGTTGTGTATATACCACTTTGAGTGAATCAAGTGCTGCTACAGTGCTTGCAGCCTTCCTCCTCTCTTGGTCCAGCTCTGCCACCAGCCTCAGCACCGTCTCTCTGCTGGCTTTGCACTCCACCTCACTGGACTTCACACTCTCTTCTAAAACAGCAACCCTCATCTTCAGCCTCTCCTTCTCATTGCACTGTTAATTACAGAGGTTGAAGAAAGGTACTAAATAGTTATTAAATGTTTTTTTAATCTATTTTTAAAAGTTGCCAACATAGGAATCAATTTAGTTTTTTCCTCCGCTATGACTGAATTCAGTAGACATTGAAAATATTTTAAGGCCTACCTCGTTAGAGTTTTCCATAACTCCAAATAAGAGAGGTGAGAAGTGAACTTTAAGTAGATGTTGCCTCTGTTTTAAGAAGTCTCCTGGCAACAGCAAACACAGGCTCAGTCAGAAGGGGGCGCTGTAGCTGAGACTGTCAGGCATCAACTCGTTTATCAAGTTGGTGGAATTTTATTTTATTTTATTTTATTTTATTTTATTTTATTTTATTTTATTTCAGTTTATTTTATTTTAGTTTAGAAAAATTGATTTCTTAATTAATATAGTAACATAAAAAAAATCCAAAGTCACGCTGAACGTGCAACAATGTGAAGGTCTTTCCATGAGCACCACGTTAGCCCTGAGTTTAGACTGTCAGGTAGCCCTTCTGCTCAATCCCAGTATGAGCTTCACTTACCGGACATTTTCCACTCATAAACTGATCGAGTTTGTCTAAATATAAACGACTGAGTATTTTTAAGGTACTTCCTGCTGTGTTTTGAAGTTTTAGTAAGTAATACAGTTCAGCTTAAAATGGAAACGCTCTACCTTCAAGTCAGAGCTGAGAGCATAATGTGACTACTTTTATTGCGTCACTTCGAGCAGGAAACAAGCGACGAGGAACAAACACGCCGCCTTTGAATGTATGCAAGACTGTAAACACTGAAGGTAGCTGGAATTTGTGAATTAATTTAACACCGTATTTTGTTTTTTCTAAACTCCTGACGTTTTCTACTCACTGAATTGTCTGCGGCTGGCATGTATACAGAAGTTAGCTCCAGGCATGGAGCCGCAGTACTGCTGAATGTATTATCCTAATTAGTTTGCAGGATATACGAGTGTTTTGCTTGCTGATGCACTTTTGATTCCTGTTGTTGTCTATACTTTAGATTTAACGTGTAACAATAGAACTATACGTCCATTAGCTAAGTTGATCTGTTTGTTTAACATAGTTCTGTGCTTCCAGTCACCTAAAGGCACTTTCCTTTGGCAGCAGGTTATTTGTAGGTGAGTGTGAATGGAAGATGCTTCTCCGGACGTTGTGGTCCAGACTGGGAGCCCAGCTGCATGCAGGGAGCAGATCAGGCTGCGTTTTAACTTCGGCCAGGACTCACTGTGCTCCGTGGAGCTTTTCCAGGACCTGCCATTTAAACTCTATTCATCAGCAGCACGAGCAGAAAAGACATGTTTCTTTGCCTGCTTTGAGTGGATGTAAAAGTCTTAGCAGTGGGCTTTTGACTGACCCTGGGAGACTTTCAAACTGTGCAAGAGGACAAACAAGTTTGTATTCAACCAACCTCGTAAAGACAGTGTTGAAACCAGGTTTGAAACCAGCCACAGTGCCTGGGAAGAGGGCACCCAAGGGACCACGGACGAAACAGCCGTCCAGAGCCAACCAGCCTTCCCTCAGTGAAGACAAGGTGATTTACCCTTTAGTGTAGTGAAATGTTTTATTTAGCTGCGCCTGGTATTGTTTTATGTGTTGATTCAATTGTTTGTCTCCATAGGATATGATGCAGTGCATTGCTTTTGCAACAGCAGATCAGTATCATTTGCCAACACTTTCTCACGACTTGATAAACCACGGCTTCCATGAGATAGATTTGCCCAGAGGTATGAGTGAAAAGGTCATACAGCTGTGCATTAGATTATTAGTGATGGCTTTCATGATCGTCGTGTTTTATTTTCAGATGCCTCGAATGTTCTGGTGATAAGCACAGACATGGCTGCAAAACCAGATGAAAATGCACAAATCTTCTTCTTCAGGTAATGCTGATGCGCTTTGGTTTAGACTTTGTCTCCAATGGTATTATTTTGTTGTAGAAAGGTCAGTTCTGTTCAAACATTGTCAAAAATATGGCTTAATTTGAGGATTATTGATATTTGGTTTGGTCAGTACTCAGTGATACAGGCGTACCTTGGTTTGCCTGTATGCCTATATCAGTGATCTATTTCTCAGCATCAGATGCACACACAAATCTAAACATGCAATTGCTGAGATTGTCGGTTGGATTCGGGTCTGGATTACACAAGGCTAATCAGTGGTGCCTTTTAAAATTGTTGATGCTCTTGCCACGTGAGGCCAGGCCCCACTGCATTGTGTCTAAGCAGTCAGGGAGGGCTGTGAAGGTCTATGTAATCCTCCAAGGATATGCCTCCTCAGACAATCACTGACCTCCTGCTAAACCATTCATGCTGGATGTTGCATGCAGCATAACGTTCGCCACAGCATCTCCAGACTCTTACCTGCCACATATGCTCAGTGTGAATTTGCTCTCATCTGTAAAGAGAATGCAGCCCCACTGATGGACCTTTTGGTTTTGTTGATCACTAGTGAATGCTATTCGATCTGCATGTTGCTGGTATGTGAACACAGGTCCCACTGATGGATGTCAGCCCCTCATGCCGCCCTCATGGAGTCTGTTTCTGACAGATTGATCTAAAACATGCACATGAGGTTTTGTAGGCCACCTCCCATTCTTCCTCTCACAAAGGAGCAGATACTGGTCCTGCTGCTGTGGTATCTCCACCACACTCTTGAGATTGTGCTGAGAGGCACAAACTTTGTTGCCATGGCACGTGTGGATTTGCCATCCTGGAGGAGTTGGACTATTTGTGCAACCTGGCTGAGATGGTGATAGTGTCTCATGTTACTAGTGGAAGCAAGGACAAGGAGATAGAAACGGTCTGTGGCAACCATTCCCTTTTTGGGGGGTTGTCTTGTTGTTGTCTTCCCCTGCACCTGTTGTCCCTTTGATTTGCACCAGAGCAGGTGAAACTGAGTCTTAATAGTTTATGCTTTCTAACTTACAGGTTGCTATCCCTGAAGTTTAGCTGACTTTTTTGTTATACGCTGACAATCAAGCATTCCTTGAACATTTTTCAGCAGTGTAGTTACTAATACTTCTTTAGTACAGCTGCTTTTTTCTTTGGCCCCATAATGCCTGATCTCAGTCTAAAGTTTCTAAGTTTAAAAGTTGTTTTGTTCAGCTAGAGTTCTTGTTTGACTGCTTGCCTCATGATTACCTTGAACCGATAGTTTGTTTTGTAACATGAGAGGAAGGGCTAAACACTGACTTGTTCCACTTTCTAAATTTTTAGAGAAGGCTCAGTAGTTTTCTGGAATGTCGAGGAGAAAACGGTAAGCAAACATCACCATTAATGCAGTTAATCTAATTTCCAGTTCACTTTTCTACTATACTATTGTTAAACTCTGTAATTTCCCCTCGGTCTTTACAGATGAAAAACATTTTGAGAATCCTGGAACACCATGAGATCCAGCCTTATGAAGTAGCGTTAGTCCACTGGGAAAACGAGGAGATTAACTACACTGTGGGAGAGTACGATGAGCCTCATGCTTTGTTTTGTTAGTACTTTCAGACTCTGTAACGTTTCTAAACAGACACTTTTTTCCACCTCAGGGGAAATACAAAGCTTGAGCGTGGCAACTTTATTCTGAGTGACGATATGGATCAAGAGGAAGCTGTTTTGGAGAAATTTGCATTTTCAAATGCACTTTGTTTGTCTGGTGAGAAGCTGTATTTCCAGTCTGAATCATAAAAAATGTATTTGTTTCCTGTGAACACTGCTAACCTTTTCTCTTTGCTTTCTTTTCCAGTGAAGTTGGCAATATGGGAGGTAGCATTAGACAACTTTGTAGAGTCCATTCAATCAATTCCAGAGGTACAGTGGACAATTAACAGCAAGAATGAATAATTGATTATTTATAATGGTTGTTTGTGTGTTAGGAGATGCACGTGGCATTAGTATTTTTCTAAAATGCTAATGCCAGCATGCTAATTTTTTTTCCTTTCCCACCCAGACACTCAAGTCTGGGAAAAGAGTCAAGTTGTCCTCTGCAGAGGTTATGCAGAAGATAGGAGAGCTTTTCACATTAAGGTAAATTCAGGAAAGTACATCCTTTCTATTTTTGTATTCACTATTTATGAGCAAGTAATACACCTTGAGTTTTGTGTAATTATACATGTTATTTCTAAATGCAAAAACTGCTGTTTGTTTGCTTTTCTAGTATTACCGTACTTTAGTATTTTTATTTACACTCTGCTTTGACAGACACTGTATAAACCTGAGATCTGACCTTCTCCTCACGCCTGATTTCTACTGGGACAGAGAAAACCTAGAAAAACTCTACGATAAGACGTGCCAGTTCCTCAGCATCAACCGCAGAGTCAATGTAAAGGATAAACTATCGCTGCTGGGTCTTTGTGTTAACACTCAATCATTTTTTTTTGCCCATGTAGCTTCATAATCTATCTCATTTTAGGTTGTGAATGAGAAGCTGGAACATTGCACGCAGCTGACAGACTTGATGAGGAGCCACCTGAGTGAGAAGCACAGCTTGAGGTTGGAGTGGATGATAGTCATCCTGATTACGATTGAGGTAAAAGAGGTCAAGCAAGAAGCCTCAAAGAATGCAGCATTTTTAAAACAAACCTTTATTCATGCTTTAAAAAAAACAGGGAGATGTTTAATAATGAGTGCATCTCATTTGTTTCTCGTGTAGGTTATGTTTGAACTCGCAAAAATGATCTTCTAAATTGCTGCTCTGAAGCTACAACAACTCTAAAAAGGGCACAAGCAGCTATGAAAGAAGAATGCTGCACTGTGCGAAGGCACTGAGTCGTGAAGGGGACCTAGATCACGCTGAATGTATTTACTCTTCATGTGTTACATCAGCAACTTTCTGAAAACCATGAATTATTTTTAAATCAAGAATTTCACAAATTGTTACTGAGGATCTTGGCTGCGGGCGGGAGCAGTATTTTACACACATTTGTTCTTTATTACTGTGAAAAAAACAAAGAAAAATCAAAGTAGGCAAAAAAAGATTTTTAATCTTCTGTGATGATCTGACCTTTATGTTTTGGGACTTTTTTTTTTGTCTTTATGTTCTTAATTTTCTTTTTATGTCATGAGAAAGCATCTATGTTTTCTTGTCAGTGTCAAAGATGCATTTTTAAAAGGTCTTATTTGCATGGGAAGGCAGGGACTCCCACACCTTGACACTGATCTTGCAGCTGATTTAAAAAAGAAAGGGGGGGGGGAGATGTAGAAATGCATCCAGATTTACTGAGTCCCAAACACCAACTGTAACTCTGTTATAAAAGATGGGAATAAAGTATTTATGTTCAATATTTCTGTGTTTGGATGTTAAACATTATTAACAGATTTCTTTTCTTTTGCAGTAAACAAATAATTACTGAAGTACTTTTAATTTATATGTATTAATTTATTCAAATAAAATAGTTTTTATTAATTAAACACTGGTAAATATATCAGAAAACATATAAATACACATAAATCAATATTAGTGACATCAGACAAGCAAGGATTGTCCATAACAGACAGTAATGGAAATGAGATTTCAAAGTAAAAGCATACAGCTAACATAAATACCTTTTCACAAGCTTATTTCTCTCACTCTGTTGCAGTTTGATTACTGAGCCTCAGGCATCAAGCTTAGTGAGGAGGCTTGTTTCTGGCACTTAGATTTTTTTTCCTGTCTCTAAGTCTAAATTCAGGGTTAGTATCTCAAATTCTCAGCTTAACTTGAAATTTTGAGACAATCAAAATTTCCACTTTTTATTTTTTTCAGTGGTAGAAACAGCCTGTTAAAGAACAGGAGAACAGAAAAGTTTGAGTAAACATGGTTGCTTAAGGCACTGCTGATTAAAATTAGATTAACTGCGTATTTGATTAAGTTGAGCTTTAAATTAAACACTGTCACACCTTGCTTCATGCCATGCTCTCACCATGCTCTTATTTTCGAACTGCTCACAGTAAAAATTCTAATCACTAAAATATTCATTATGTACAAGATCACATATGATAACAATAATATATGTATATATATATATATATATATCTCCTCAGTATGTTCAGGTCTGACTTTTTAAATCATGTGGCATAAGTGAAATACTAATTGCAAATAAATGTGTTGTGGAAATATCTACATTTTGCTAATTTTTTATAAAAAGGTGTTTCTATGTGCTGTAACTGGTAACATACATCATGATTTAATGTGGTCTGTGAATAACACCTGAATGTTTTTTAAGCTTTTTACCATAAAAGGTGAAAAGATTCAACAAATATATTATGATATTCTTATTGACTTACTGACATATACATTCTATTCAAAAACTTAGGCATAATAATGTATGAATTATGAGTGGAGAGACCTGACATAATTAGCAATGAAGTTGCATTACATGACAAACAGGTAGTTAAATTTACTGAGGCCCCTGCGTGGTAAAAGTAGCTCATTGTCACACTTCTAAAATCATTCAAAAATCACAATTCAAGCCCCCTGAGAAGATTAACCTTTTTTTCAATGCACACTTTCCAAAACACTCTCTTAGGTCATATACTGTATAATAATAAGATAATCTTAGCAATTAAGGCTAGTTTCGCTAATAAATATCAGAATATTTTGGTGCAACATAATGTGAAATAAAAGGCTTTGATGGCTTTATGAAGCTTTCTTCCTTTTACTTTTTGATTGTTCCACCTACAAAAAGAAATACAAAAAAGGGCATACGTTTAATTGAAATTGATTGTGAAAATATACAGAATAAGAGGTGGCTTACCACTTAGTAACACTTGAGCTGGGTTAGGTTAATCCCATTCTGCCTGAGTGACACATGTTGTGATTACTGGGTACTCCAGGGCAACAGCAAAATCTTCACCTTCACTCTCAATTTCACCTATTCCTCCTGTTTCATGCAATCTCTGATGATATTCCTCATCCTCACTCTTGGTATCAGGTGCCATTTCAAACTCAGATTCAGGATCTTCTTCCCTCCTTCTTCCCTCATGTGCACTTCCAGCTTGAGGCTCTGTGGGTTCTTCCACTTTGATGTGGGATGCCCCCTTTTCCTCTTGGGTGTAAATGTCTTCCTCAGCATCCAGCCACACGTCATCATTTTCCTCCTCTATTTGTTTAATGGGCTCCTCTGCTGTTTTTTCTTTGCTACGAGCCTTGAAGACTGCAGGATGACTGATCAACAGGCCTCGTTTCTCTTTTTGCATCACAGGTTCTGTCGTTTGTGTGGCCTGAATGTCTGGTATTATCGATTGCTTTGACTGAATTTGTTCCACTGGTTCTATTGTTTCTATTGTGTGGATGCTAACAGCCTGTAGTACTGGCTGTTTTGATATCATGGCTCTTTCAGTTAAATCAAATTTTTCTGCTGGCTCTGTGAATTGCTTCAGCGGTTTGGTGGTTTCTGCTGCCTGGATTTTGGAGATTATTGGTTCCTCTGATTCAGCTTGTTCTGCTGGTTGTGTTGTTTCCATTTCTTGGACAGCAACGTCCTGAAGTTTAGGCTGATGGGAGACCACAGCTTCTGATTCAGTGATTTCTGTTGTCTGAACAGCGACTTCCATTAGCTCCATTTGTTTCTCGCTCTCAGCTCTTTGCATTGCATTTATCAGGTTTGTAGGTTCCACTGCTTCTACTGCCTGAACAGCAACTTCGGACACATTAAGCTGTTTCACAGGTTCTGCAGAAGGTGGGGGGGATGCTGGTGCCTTTAGCTGCCCAAACTGTATGTTAAGTTTGAATTCTAAGGACAGGCTTGAAGGAGACTCTACATTACCTATTGATGAGATCATACCCGTGTTCTGGGGGGCTACTAATCCTGTGTTATTTGGTGTAACAATCTGGCTTTGTGTACTTTGTAGTTTTTGTGCTTCTGTGGTGGTATCGCCATCTTTCTTCTTAGCTAATTCTTCAGATGTTGCATCCTCCGCTGTCACACATACCTCTGATTTTTGCAGCTCAGCTTGAGTTTCTTCCAGATCCTCTGTGTGATCATGGGTAGAGATATCTAAACCTAAATCAGAAATTCGCAATTGATCCTCAGACTCTTTCTGCTCAGCTGGGATCCCATGTCCTTCATCCTCTTCTTCTATGAGCTCCCCAGAACTGTCCATCATTTTTTCATCCTCTGGTTCACTTGGTGCACTTTGAACTGTCTCGCTAATATCTGGTTGTTTTATAACTTCTTGTTCCAACTTATCTGGCACAGATTCAGGAGTGGGCTCTGGTAAATTCCCCTTTACATATTGAATAACTTCTTGAACAGTTCGATTGTTTTCCTCGTTATTCACTTCCTCTTCGATTGCAGTAGAGGCAGATAGATTTTCTACTTTTTCAAGAGTTTCATGACAAACATCAATAACTTCTTTGGCTTCTGTAACCCCTACCTCAATCATTGTGTTGACGATATTCTCTGCTGAATTGATATCAACATCCACCACTTGCACTTGGAATCTGTGATTGTCGTCAAACTCTAGTGATGGAACATGCATCATAACAACCACGCTGCCTTCTTCTGCTGTGTTAATGACATTGTTCTTCTCTAATGGTGTTGTGCTCTCAAAAGTGTCCTTTACCTCCATCACACTTGCTTTTCTTTCTATCAAGTGTTCTCGAATCTCAGTTGTTTCCTCAATCAAAACATCAGGTATTACTGCTGAAACATCTTTTAGATTACATGTTATTACTTGCATCACTACAGCGTGCTCAGTGGCAGCAGTGATTACCTCAGTGCCTTGAAGTTCACCAGCTTTTTCTCCATCAACACTTACTTGGGCTGTACTAACATCCTCGTCATATTTGGGTTCTTCTGAAGCTTCAGCACTGTCAACACAAGTCTCACAATGGACCTGATCATTACTTGCTTGTTCTTCTTCTTGTTCTGCAGAAGGCACATAAGCAGCTGGTACCATTTCTTCCAAAGCTTCACCTTTTCTATCTTCGTGTTCAGCTTGATCATTTTGTGGAATGCTTTCGGTTTTCTGATCTTTGTTTATTTCTAAATCCTGGCCTGGTTGTTTTTTCTCAGTTTCATCTGTAATGCGGTCAGTGTCTGGTTTCGGAACATCTTCTAGCAATGCTTCAGTTTCAAGCTCCTGAGTGCTAAACACCTCAACACTTGATGCAACTGCATTTGCAGACTTGGATGCTTCACGGTCAGTTGCAGGAACATTGTTTTCTGCATCAGGCAGTGATGCTTCTGGTTCCTTTAGGTCAACTGCTTTCTGCTTGGGTTCACCTGTAACTGTTTCCATTGCCCCCATATCCTTGGATATCACCTCATCTTCAGTTCCTTGAGGTTGACCTTCCTCTGAATCTAATGTGACGACTTGTACCACTTGTAACACTGCTGGTTCTTGAACATCCTTGGTTATGGAATCATCCAGTGCTTCACCTTTATCTTCAGTGATTGGTAACATTTTAGCCTCTTGGGGCTGATCTTTTTCTGCATGTGGAACATCCTCTGATATTACTTCTTTCTCCCATGACTGACCACTCCCCTCTTCTAAATCTAATATGGCTGCTTGTACAGCTTCTACCTTTTCTGGAACTTCAGGCTGTGATTCTTTGTTTTGAATCTCATCGGCCACTTCAGTGTGATGTTGTGTTGTCTGTTTGTTTTCATCTGTTACTGGTTCAGAAGACTGAATGTCTTCTGAAGGTTGTATTTCTGTTTGAACACTATCTTCTTTTGAATGCAGTGATGTGGCTTGAAGAAGTTTTGGTACCTCTGGAACTTTGGAAACTTCAGGCTGTGGTTCTTTTTTTTTAATCTCATCAGTCACTTCAATGAGATTCTCTGCTAACTCTTTACATTCACCCGTTATTAGTTCAGCAGACCGAATGTCCTCTGAAGGTTGTATTTCTGTTCGAACACTGTCCTCTTTTGATTCCAATGTTGTGGCTTGAACGCCTTCTGACACCTCTGTAACTTCGGAAACCTCAGACTGTGGCTCTTTAGTTTCTGGCTCATTAGAAACTTCACCTTCAGTGAGATGCTCTGATGTCTGTTTGTTTTCATCTGTTACTGG